ACATGGGCAGGCCTCACGCAGTCAGGTGGGGCCTGACCAGAACAAAGACTGACCTCCCCTGAGCAGCAGATGCCCTTCGGACTTGAACCACAGCATCAGCTCTTCCTGGGTCTCCAGCCTGGTGGGCCACTCTGCAGATTTTGGACTTTCCAGCCTCCATAATCACATCAGCCAATTCCTTAAAGGTAATCAATCTCTCCTAACCTCCCCCTCCGCCGATACACACACACACACACACACACACACACACACACACACACACACACACACATACATACATACATACATATATTCATATCCTACTGGCTCTAGTTCTCTGGAGAGCCCTGACTAATACAAGAATGAGTTCCATCCCAGCCCTGGCATAGCTGCCACAGCCTGGAGGAAGAGATGCCCGATGGGGCCACACTTTCCTACTTCCCACTAACTTCCCTAAGTGACAGTAGAGGTGCTGTGTGACCCTTGCCCAGGCCAGGCGTTCTCCTGCCTCCCCTCCCCCCTTTTGCCTTTGCTCACGCTGGTCCTCACACCTACAGTGCCTTCCCTCTGCCACCACTGCCAGGCATGATGAATGGTTGATGTTCTTGGGGGAAGAGGTTTTTTTTTTTTTCCTCTTTCCTGAACTTTTACTTAAACCTTAAATGAAACAAGACAAAAAAGTTGCCTTCCACCTGCACTCATGGGTTCATACAAAACAACTGGTGTGTATCCTTCCACCTGGTGCGCAATGGTACTCCCACACCTTCTCTTCTGCATTCTTGCAGCAATTCCAGGCAGATGGTGCATCAAGAATGCTGAGCACATGCAACATACAGCACTCACCCCTGGGTACTATGGGAAGCCATAAAATCAGGTTCCCTGGGAGAGGATGTCAAGGGATGAAAGACTGATAAGACATGTTTCTGAGTACACGAGCCAAACCACACTTCTCCGACACCAACGCGAGTGTTGCCCCTAACAAAGGTACTTCTGCACTCCGCTCCAGTGGTTGGCCTCATTTCCTTCAGTTTCTCATAGAATTTCAGAGCTAGAAAGAACCTATCTGATGCAACTATGTATGTGTTTGGGGGGGTCAGGTACAGGAGTGTGTGTATGTGTGTCCATAACCAAAGATAACTGTACCAGTGCAGCTGACAATCCTACAGGTCATCTCTTCTTAAGTCCCACCATAACTCTATCCCCAAGCTCTCCACCCAACTCAAACCTCCCCACCTACACCTTCCCCCCGCCACCTGTAAAAGATGACCTCATCTCCCTCACTACTAAAAACTCAGACTGTTAGAAAAGTTCTTTCAACCACCCCTACCTCACCCACTACCCCACTTTGTACATCTCAGTCTCTTCGTCCTTCCTTTGCTCAGGTCCTGCTCCAAGTTCTCCTCTCCCTCAGGCTCACAGTCTGAAAAGAACATTCCAGACCCTTCATAATGTGATCTCGGCCCCAATTTTGCAACCTCAGCTCCACTATTCTCTGGCCCTGGCCAATTCTAGCCAACGAGACTTCCCCGCTCACCCTCCATGCTTTATGTTTTCCTGTCCCCGCACCTCTGCAGAGCCACCTCATTAATCAGGAATCCCCTCCTCCAACCAATCCCACCCACCTCTGAGAGTCTGGGTCAGATGGGGCTTCAGAAAGCCCCATCCATCCAAATGTGACCCCTCTCTCTCCTGCAAACTGCTCGGGCACTCGCATGACCACGTGTCACTACAACGAGTGCACCTCCCCATGACACTGGACTCCAGAGGCTGGTGGAATGAAGTCGTACCTGTCCTTGGCTACACCCACAGTGCCCAGCACTGAGCTTGTTTCACTAAGTACCAGCTGTGTGTACAAGCAAGAAAGGGAAGGAATGAAAGAACGAAGGAAAAGGTGTTGAACCACAGAATCATCAGCTGTCAGAGCCTGCAGGGGCCCCAGAGAACTGCTAACCCCAGATGAGGATGTGTAAGGCTGCGTTTGTGGTTGTCGAGAAGAACCATGCCAGGTCCTCCAACACGGACCCAAGGGCTCATGGGGGCCAGGGTGGTCAACAGCCTCATGGCGTAGGCCTGCACCTGCCCCATTCAGCCTCCTCCCACAGGTGGAGAACCTGAGTCTCATCCACCTGCTCGGAGCTCCCCCTGCAGGGAAGGGCCGGTCGTCAACACCCCTCCCAGACGCACAGGCTCAGGCGCCATCTGCTGGCCAAGGTCAGCGCTGCATCTGGAACAACAGTCTCAAGGGCAGTCGGACCATCCCATCCCAGTCCAGACCCAGGTCATTCTTGGGAAAGCAGAACCTGGAGGCAGGGCTCTGATTGCTTCCTGGAACTTGTCTTTCAGGACATAAGCCTAATATCGATATAAAGGGAAAAAAGCAAGTTTCTTTCTGGTATTATTAGCTGAGTATTCCAACAGACAGAGACAGACAGACAGACAGACACATACACACACACACACACACACACACACACACACACACATACACACATACACACACACACACTCCTTTTTTCCTTTTTTTTTTTTCTGCCTAACAGAAGCTCTGTTATGCAGGGGACAAGTCACTGGCCTGGCAGTCAGAAGATCTGAGGCCTCATCTTGCTGCTTGTCACTGTCCCTGCCCCAGCTGTGTGGCCCCCAGCACTCTCCTGCCTAAGCCAACCGTAGGCAAGGATGATGCCCGTTCGCTCGCCCTCACCGCTACACCGACGGTGCCAGCTGATGTCCAGGGACTGATCCAGAACCAAATCGTGGGTCCCGAAGTGCTGCAACCTCAACCTTATCTCCCACTCCCAAGCTGGGGACACCCCTCAGGGACACCCCCACATGCCTGGGGCAGGGACAGGTCTAAGGATACCAGTGACTCCCCCCCCCCGCTGGAGCACACCATCCCTGAACCCCTTTCCACAGCCTGACACTCCAGAGCACGCGGTCTCTGAGCTCAGGCTGAGCTCGAGGCTCTCCGAGGATGAAGACCTAGGAAGACGGCGATGCGTGCCAGACTCAGCTCCTTCTAAGCACACTCCCGAAACCAGGGATGGAACCGAGCTTTCCACAGAAGGTCCCAGGGCCGGCATGGAGCCCAGGATGAGTGGGGCCCACTCAGACATCGTCCTGGGGGGCAAGACTGCTCCCCAAGAAGTGTCACGGGAGGGGCGGGAGGAGGAGGCAAGTGCCAGTGAGTGACTTGCCTCCGCCCTCACTCCCACACAGCCCCTTTCCCCTCCCTCCGCCCACAGACCAAAAAAGTGTGTCACCGGGGAACAAATGCCATCTTCCCACGAGGGAGAGGAGGAAGAGGAGGAAAGGAGGAGAGAAGGCTTTGTGTGCCTGTGGGGCCGTGGTAAGAAGCTTCCCAGCTGTGAGGGACGCCCCCTCAGAACCATGACCTTGACGTTAGCCTTTCTTTCTCAGGGGCTTGAGAGGCACTGTAGGGCAGAAGCCACATGGCCACCATGCTCAGGACCACCTGGCAGGGGGCAGGAGGCTGGAAGAGAGGCTCTAAAGATGCAGGCAACATCTTCCAACCCCAAACGTCCTTCAGCCAGCTGGGTGGACCCACCATGACCGCTGACACCCCAAATTTCCCATCTCGCTCATCCTGGCTTAGAGGGAGCCGCTGACCTGCTCTTGCCCTGTTCCCCTCCCCAGCTCTCCAGACAAGTCATTTAACCCTCCAGGGGTTAATCTCCTGCTGCCTACCCCTCCTGCGCATCCACCCCCAGCGAGCTGCCACATGCCAGCCACGATACGCTTCACACTGTTATTACAGTGATTTATTTAGTTTTAATTTGAGGGTGAATCTCTTGCTGTTGGAAGCCAGAGGCCCACAGTCTTGGCAAGAGGCAAAGCTACGTGTGGGTTGGCACCATGCCAATCCTGTCCCCTCTGCCTGGGGTCCCTCCATCCTCACCCTGACCCTCCTATGCACCTCCTTCACGGTCTGGGCCCCCATCCAGGCCAGCCAGTCACTGAGGAGTGGCACAACTTTGGCTGCATGCTAGGTACCTGGGACCAGCTCCACATTAAGGTACCAATAGTCAGGGCCAGATCCATGTAGAGTACGACTTACAGAAGAAACCCTAGACGCAACTAACCAAGCCACAAGTTACACAAGTGTGGGGATCTAAGTTCTGCAGAGCCCCGAGGAGGGATAAGATTGGTCTAGTGAGAGTCACAGAAGACTTCATAGAAGAGCTGGGGGCTGGACGGGAATCCCAGCACTGAGCAACCCCACCTGGCATTTGCTAGATGGATGGACAGATGGACACATGGCCTGGTAGAGAATGGAGTAAAGACATTCCAGGCAGATGGCAGGCCATGGGTGTAGGCCCCGAGGATTAAGGGTACACAGTGAGACAAGTGGCACAATGTGACCAGAGCGTAGGGAAATAACAAAAACACTAGCAGTAACTAATATTCGTTGAGCGTTTGCTCTACACATCAGGTACTATACTAAGCACTTTATATTCATTATCACTTCTCATCCTCACAGCAACCCTACGAGGTGGGCGCCACAGCTCTCCTCATTTGATGGATAAGGAAGTGAGGTATCAACAGGATCAATCATTTGTGCAAGGTCCAAGCTCCTGGCTCCAGAGCCCAAATTCTAGCCAAAATGCTACTCTACCCCAGGGTATAGTCACAAAACATATAGGTAAGTTGAAACAAGACAGGATGGATCTCGAAAGCCCTACTAAGGATTGAAACCTTCAGTAAGGCATTATTAAACCCTCAATAAGTGATAGATAGTATTAGATTGAACTGTATGAATCATATTAGTTTGTAGGTCAAAAACAGTCAAACCCGAATAATTTCATGTGGTTCAACTAGTATTTTTTACTGAGGGCCACTGAGGTTCCTTCTAGCTCTTTGATTTCAGCACCGACGGTTGCTGTAACATTTGGTTCTGTGTCACTGGTGAATACCCAGTACCCTGGGCCCAGGCAACAAGAACTCTGCCAGGGCCTTTTCTGAACATGCCACCCTGGGCCTATTCCCCCAGCAAAGGCGGGTACCTCCTTGCCCAGGTCCTCGCGGATGACCTGGCGGACCTCTTGCATGCTGCTCTGCGGGGCCTGGCTGTGTAGCACCTTCAGAGTGCTGGTGTACTCCTCTGGCAGAAGGTAGTCCAGAGCCCCCAGGTGCTGGCCCACTTTGATGAAGGTGCCCCGGTTGGCACAGCAGAGCTCACAGAGACGCCTGGCAGAGCGGAGGTGCACCTGCAGGGAGACAGGCCGGGGCCAGAGAGGTGTGAGTACAGACTGTTCCCTTCTGCTTGAAAACTCTAATCCCCAGCCCCGCCCCCACTGTTTGGAGCAGGTGCCTGTGCGCACATACACACACGTCCCTCCCTTCGCCTCCCTCACTGTCCTCCTTCAGTCTCCTGGTACACACAGCAGTCAACCCCAACCTCATGCCGAGCCGGCCTTCATACACCGCCCAGTGCTTCCGATCTCCTCCTCTCCATCCAAACTTACCTGGTCTGGGTGCTCCTCCCCAGAAGTGAGCATTCAAGGCTTTTAACCAAGCCTAATCTACTAATGATTCATTCAAGGCTACTTTGAGTTAACATATTTGCTGCTCACCCCTCAGACATACTAATAATACTTTATGTTTGCTGAGATCTCTACAATTTATAAAACATGGTCATATGCATTACATCTTTTAATCTTCACGGCAGCTCACGGAGGCAGGTGTAAGTAGCTTTAAAGATGAGAAATTCAGTTGTTTTGTTTATAAAGCAATAGCTAATAAATGTCAAAAGAAAGTCTAGAAGACACTCTAAATCTAAGGCTCTTTTAACACAGTAAACTTTAGCAGGGCTCTCCTCATTAACTGGAGGAATAATTGTGCTGGGGGCATCAGGCACAGGGAGTTGGCAGCTGGGCAGCTTGTCCAGGACGGAGCAGGCTTAACGGACGTCCTATTGCCCACCAGGATGCTCACCTGGGCATCCTGCTAGAGCCTGGAGTCTGGGCCACTGCTCTGCTCTGGTGGGAGGGGGGCTCTGGGATGAGGGTGCCTACGGCTGCAGCATTCTCTTCTGAATTTCTAAAGTAACGGTTTCCTGTGTGCTTCACTTGGCAACTAATTATATAGGATCTTCGAACCCTTCTTCCATCTTTGTTGTCAACTGTTATTTAACTCCTCGCTGGTTTTATTGCCCCTGATATGTGCTAATTACGTCAGCATCCTTCATGGCACCTAAGAGAGTGTAAATCCATCGTTATTCACTCCCTCTTCGCTGACTTGGTTGGTGGGAGGCAGTAGCAGGTCCCCAGGGCACTGCAAGCCCTTGTTTTGTGTATGTGCCGGTGGCCCCATCTTCCTCAGAGGCTGCAACTTCTGGAAGGCAGGACCCTCAGAGGACCAAGCCCCCCAGCTGGGCTCTGGGCTGGGGTGATGCCTGGGGCTGCACAGCCTGGGGGCAGATGGGGCCACCTCCCAGCTCTGGAAGGGCTCTCCCAGGAGAGACATCGGCCACCATACAGTCCCTGGAGACTTACGTGGGTCCAGCCACGTGCCCTCTACCATCAAGGAGGGCAACAGAGCCACTTGCACAACAGAGAATGACACACAGCCACAAGCAGAGGAAAGGGCCCAGGCCTGGGTACCATGGCAACTCCCAGATGAAAGAACAAGAGGGTTGGAATTAGAGGGGTTTGGCTCATGGGGAGGGGGAACCGGGGTGTGTGTCGGTCATGAGCACACGGCCTCTCAGCTCCCAATCCACTCTTCTTTGTCTGCTTTGTGGTCCTGTGTTCCCTCTCCTCTGTCAGATGGCTTGACAGCAGGCTTTGTCAGTGGGGGCTCTGCAGGGACACTGTGAGGCCACAGCAGGAGCAAGGGGTCTCCCCTGCTGGTCCCAGGGCACTGTTGTCAGCAGCACACAGCCAGCAGGTCAGCGGCTGGCAGTGCCCACTGCAGTGGCCTCATAGACAAGCTGTGCCCATACCCTCCAGTAAGTTTCTGGACTACCTGGTGGTCCCCTCCAGCGAGCATCCTGACCACTCAGCAGTCCGCTCCTATAGATCAGCTCTGGCTCATTCCCTCCAACAAGCTTCTCTGCTTCCTGGCAGGCTGCTCCCATGGTCCAGCTCTGGCTCAGGCCTCCACTGTGTCCCCTTGCCACCAGCCTGCTCCCTCGAGGCCTGACCCTCAGCCTCATGGGCAGGAGGATCCCGGCTAAGTCCTCGTTTCTGTCCTGTTCACTGTCTCGGCCCTAGAAGGAGTAGCTGCTTTATGTGTTTGCTACCTCTGTACTTCTTCTACTCTTCTTCTACTCCTTTTAGGAGTTACCAACCTTTTACTAATTAATAATACTTTATAATAAATTTTGCCTGTTCAAATTACTGGTGTGGCTGGAGCCTGGCTGACGCACAGGGTTAAGCCCTTGGAATTAAATCTGAATAAAGATGGAAAAAGAAGGCATTTCAGATCAAGAGAACAATGTAAGCAAAGGCACATGTGCGTGTGTGCTGCTGTGTGTGTTGCTGTATGTACATGTGGGGGGTGTTGTATGTGTTGTTGTGTGTGGGTATGTTTGTAGGGTGCTGTGTGTGTGTGTTGCTGTATGTGGGTATGTCTGCATGTTGCTCTGTGTATTGCTCTGTGTATTTCTGTGTGTGTTGCTGTGTGTGTGTGTTGGATGTGTGTGTTGTTCTGTGTGCACGTGTTGCTGTGTGTGTGCACGTGTTACTGTGTGTAGGTGTGTGTGTTGCTCTGTGTGTGTTGCTGTGTGTACACGTGTTGCTCTGCGTGTGTGTGTGTGGGTGCTGCTGTGTGTGTCACTGTGTGTGGGTATGTGTGGGTATTGCTGTGTGCGCTGCTGTGTGTCACTGTGTGGGTGTGTGTGGGTGTTGCTGTGTATGTTGCTGTGTGTGTGTGCACGTGTTGGTCTGCATGTGTATGTGGGTGCTACTGTGTGTTGCTGTGTGTGTCACTGTGTGTGGGTATGTGTGTGGGTATTGCTGTGTGCGCTGCTGTGTGTCACTGTGTGGGTGTGTGTGTGTTGCTCTGTGTGTGTTGCTGTGTGTGTGCACATGTTGCTCTGCGTCGGTGTGTGCGTGCTGCTGTGTGTTGCTGTGTGTGTCACTGTGTGCGGGTATGTGTGTGTGTTGCTGTGTGTGCACATGTTGCTCTGTGTGGCTGTGTGCGTGCTGCTGTGTGTTGCTGTGTGTGTCACTGTGTGTGGGTATGTGTGTGGGTATTGCTGTGTGCGCTGCTGTGTGTCACTGTGTGGGTATGTGTGTGGGTATTGCTGTGTGTGCTGCTGTGGGTCACTGCTGTGTGTCACTGTGTGTGGGTGTGTGTGTGTGTTGCTGTGTGAGTGTGCACGTGGACATACCTGCTCCATCACTTTGTTTCGATTGGGCTGACATCTGCATTTGTCTCCACTGCTGGCAACCCTCAGAAAGCATCAGCCTCACCCAGCCAAGCCCTCCCACCAGGAACAGAGCCAGGGCTCTGGTGCCCCTCCTCTGTGGTGTGGCTTGAACCAGTCCCAGGTAGGGTGTCTCTTGGCACAAAGTGACGGTGACCTTCAGGACACTGAGTAGACAATGCAGCCCTCTCTGGTCACACAAGCTCAGGAAGGCCAGTCTGCCCTGACTCACCGGTTACCTGGCACATCAGCTATTGGGGACAGAGGCCATGTGTGTCCCCTGTACACTCCGTGTACCTCGGCGCAAGTCATGCACATGCCATAAATGACGACTGTGGGCCATAAGCTCACAAAACCATCACCCATGAAGCTGAATCAGCACCTACTGCAAATGGCACCTACATCTCCACTGAAAAAGCCCTAAAGTCACCTAAACCAGATTGTAACTCAACTCACACACAGACATACTCACTCTTTCTCGCACACACACAGAGGTGATGGACAATACCACTCATCAAAAAATTAAAATATTCTTTTAAGGCCAAAAGACACAAATGCTAAAGACAAGAGCAGGTACTCTGATCTGCGGGGTCCCTTTCCAGCCCCAGCTCCTACAGGTTCACTGTCCTTTCAGACCTCCAGGGAACTACTGGCTTAGGGCACACTCCTGCTCTCAGCACTCCCTCACTTCATCTGGCACCATAGTTAACACGGAGCAACGTGCACATAAGCAACATGAATGCATGCCCACACACAGCAACACATGCACGTGCGTGCGCGCGCGCGCGCGCGCACACACACACACACACACACACACACACACAGCAACCCCCCTACGCGGAGCAATACACACAGAGACAGTCTGCTGACAGCGAGGATTGTACACTCTGCAATCCGCAGAGTTCTCTCCCCCTGGGATCCTTCCCCCAGCCATGTGAGGGTGCGCATTGGAAAAAGCAAAGCTTCCAGAATCTCCTGACCTCTGTATCCCCTCAAATCTAGTCCTTCATACCACATATATCTTTGAGCACCATGAGGGGCATGCAAGTAAATGAGAGTTAGTTTTGGGTTTTGTTTTTTTGTTTGTTTTTCAAGTAGAGATGAGGTCTCGCTCTTGCTCAGGCTGATCTCGAACTCCTGAGCTCAAGCAATCCTCCCTCCTCTTCCTCCCAGAGTGCGAGGATTACAGGCGTGAGCCACCGCGCCCGGCCGAGAGTTAGTTTAGAATAGCACTGTCCAGTGGAATTCTCTGCAATGATGGAAACATTCTGCATCTGCACTGTCCAAAAGGCGGCCGCCAGCTACATGGCTACACATGGCTACTGAAACTGAGAAACTGAATTGTTTTGTTTCGTTTCCAGCAGTCACAGTGATGGGGAAGAAACCAAATTTTTATTTAAATAGTTAAATTTCAAGTAACTTAAACTTAAGTCACCACATGTTGCCAGTGGCTACCTACCACATTGGACAACTCTGGTTTATAAATTAGCAACAACTACAATAAACACATAATCATTTATCTAGTTCCCTGTTCGAAGTACTACTCCTGGCCTACGGTAAACACAAATATAAATGCCGGTTGTTTTTAAATTCTGCCACTATCTCTGTAAAATAGATCTTACTATGTGTCTTTACGGAGGAAGAAATAATCTCAGAGAGGTTCAGTGACATTCCCAAAGTTCCACGGCCAGTAAATCGTGAAACCATGGTGTGTTCAAACCTTGATCTGTCAGATACCAGCCTGGTATACTATGCACCATGAGCTGGGGAACAAGAACTGAATCTCTCTATGTACAAGGCCTTGGGGGGGCTGCAAAGAGGTACAGACATGATGTT